TGTTCCTGATGTTCCTGGTGCTGCTCCCGGTGTTCCGGTGCTGCTCCCGGTGTTGCCGGTGTTCCGGTGCTGTTCCCGGTGTTCCGGTGCTGCTCTCGGTGTTCCGGTGCTGCTCCCGGGGCTCCGGGGCTCCCCGGGATCTGCTGCTCCCGGTGCCGCTCCCGGTGCTCTTCCCGGTGCCGCTCCTGGTGCCGCTCCCGGTGCCGCTCCCGGTGCTCCCGGTGCCGCTCCCGGTGCTCCCGGTGCCGCTCCCGGTGCTGTTCCCGGTGCTCCCGCTGCTCCGGCTCCGCCTGCGCCGCTTCCCGGGCACCGGGGCCGCAACTTTGCCCGCGGCCGCCGCGGGGAGGGGCGGCGGGAGCCGGGGGCGGGGGCCCGGACGCCGGGGCCCGCCCAGCCCCGGCCCCCAAGCCGGGGGGTGGGGAACACCCCCCCCCCGGGGTGACAGTTCTGGGGGTGACAGCCTGGCGACTGACAGCCCGTGGGGGTGACAGCCTGCGGGGTGACAGTCCCGGGGAGGTGGCAGCCACGGGGGTGACAGCCCTGTCACCGGCTGCCCCGACCCCCCGGGACTTGGTGGCAGCAGGGGACAGGTGCCTGGGACCCCCATTACCCCCATTGGGATTATGGGGGGGGGCGGGTGTCCGTGGGCCCCTCAGGCGCCACAGGGAGGCTCTAAAGGGTGACAGGGCCCTCCAGGACCCCTAAATGTCCCCAATGTGTGGCCACATGCACGGCTTGCCCCACCGTGTGCGCCTGCCCCCCGCTTCCCATGTCCCCATCCCCAGCCTAACGTCCCAGGAGGGGGACACTGGTGCCTGGCAGCACCCCCGGGGCACCCACAGCACCCACCCGGCTTGGGGGCTGACCCCCATGGGGGTATTTTGGGGGGAGATGGGGCTTTCTAGGGGCTCGGAGCTGGTGGGGAGTGGGTGCAGCCCATGGTGCCCAGCATGGGGCAGGGATGTGCACAGGGGTGGTGCAGGGAATTGCACGAGGATGGTGCAGGGATTTGCACAGGAATAGTGCAGGGAATTGCACAAGGACAGCACACTGATTTGCACAAGGATGGTGCAGGGATTTGCACAGGGATGGTGCAGGGAATTGCACAAGGATGGTGCAAGGAATTACACAAGGATGATGCAGGGAATTGCACAGAAATAGTGCAAGGAATTGCATGAGGATGGTGCAGGGAATTGCACGAGGATGGTGCAGGGATTGACAGGAGGGCAGTGCATGGATTTGCACAAGGCCAGTGCGGACATTCGCCATAAGGCAGTGCAGGGATTTGCAGGAGGACAGTGCAGTGCATTTGCACAAGGACAGTGCAGGGTTTGCACAAGGACGGCGCACCGATTTGCACGAGGATGGTGCAGCTTTGCACTAGGGCCCTGCGCCCACTCGCACGCGGGCCCGCAGCGTCTTGCACGGAGCCCCCACGCTCCCTTGCACCGAGAGCGGGGTCCGCACGTGCCATTGCACGTCCCCTTGTCACCACTTCAGCCCTTGAGTGACTTTGCAGCCACAGGGGCTCGGCCGCCCCAGTGCCCCCCCCAGCCCCGTCCCTGCTCTCCGGCCCAGGACGCCTGGGCCCCGCTGGGCCCCGCTGGCGGGGGGCACGTCGCCCGCTCCCGCCCGCGGTGACTCACCGCTAGCGCGAGGAAGAGGCGGCGGCGGCGGCTTTAATGGCATCGGATAAATCGTGCTGGCAGCAGCCGGCCCCCCCTCCCCACCCCGCGCGGCCCCCCGTTTTCCTGCTTTTCCCTGTTATTCCCGCAGCGCGGAGCTGCGGGAGGGTGGGAGGTAAGACGGGGCACCCGCCAGTGCAAGGGGACAGGGTGGGTGCAAGGGGCCGGTGCAGGAGGGCCGTGAATGCAACAGAACCAGATCATTGCAAGGGCCCAAATCAGTGCAAGGGGGTTGCATGGGTGCAAGGGGACAGTGTGGGTGCAAGGGGACATTGCAGGTGCAAGGGGACCAGATTGGTTCGAGGGGACAGGATCGGTGCAACGGAGCTGCATGGGTGCAAGGGGGCAGTGTGGGTGCAAGGGGACAGGATTGGTTCGAAGGGATAGGATCAGTGCAAGGGAGCTGCATGGGTGCAAAGAGGCTGCATGGGTGCAAGGGGACATTGTAGGTTCAATGGGACCAGACTGGTTCGAGGGGACAGGATCAGTGCAAGAGAGCTGCATGGGTGCAGGGGGGTTGCATGGGTGCAGGGGGACAGTGTGGGTGCAAGGGGACAAGCTCCGTGCAAGAGTACTGCATGGGTGCGAGGGGACAGGATTGGTGCAAGAGGACCACGTTGGTGCAAGAGGACCACGTTGGTGCAAGAGGACCGCGCCGGTGCAAGGGCGCCCGGTCAGCACGAAGGACCACGTCGGTGCGAGGGGACCAAGTCTCCAAGAGGGCACCACGTTTATTGGCGGGCACCAGGTTGGTACCAAGAGAATAGGTCAGCGCGAGGGGACACGGTGGGTGCAAGGGGACAGGGTGGGTGCAGAGAGGCCAGGTCAGTGCATGGGGACCCGGTCAGTGCGAGGCCACCAGGGTGGGTGCCAGGGGACCGGCTCACCACAAAGGTGGCTGCAAGGACACTGGGTGACCAAGAAGGTGCAAAGGGGATTGTATGGGTGCAAAGGAAACTGCTTGGGTGCAAGGAGACCAAATGGGTGCAAGGGGATCAGATGGGTGGAAAGGAGACCAGATGGGAGCAAAGGGAACAATATAGGTTCAAAGGGGACCTGATGGGTGCCAAGGGGACCAGATGGGTGCAAAGGGAAATGAATGGGTGTAAAGGGGACCGGGTAGGTTCAAAGGCGACCGTGTGGGTTCAAAGGGAACCAGATGGGTGCAAGGGGACCGGATAGGTGCAAAGGGTACTAGATGGGCGCAAGGAGTACTGGATGGGTGCACAGAGGCCTGACTGGGTGCAAGGGGGCCAGATAGGTTCAAAGGGGACCAGATGGGTGTCAAGGGGATCGAATAGGTTCAAGGGGACAGGGTGGGTGCAAAAGGAATATGATGGGTGCAAAGGGGACTGGATGGGTGCAAAGGGACCCAGCTGGGTGCAAAGGGGCCCAAGCAGGAGCAGAGGGGTCCAACCAGGTGCAAAGGGGCCCAGCTGGGTGCAGAGGGGTCCAACCAGGTGCAAAGGAGCCCGACCAGGTGCAAAGGGGTCCAGCTGGGTGCAAAGGAGTCTAGCTGGGTGCAAAGGGGTTCAACCAGGAGCAGAGGGGCCCAGCTGGGCGCAAAGGGGTTCGACTAGGTGCAGAGGGGTCCAGCAGGGTGCAAAGGGGTCTGGCTGGGTGCAAAGGGGTTCACCCAGGTGCAAAGGGCTCCAACCAGGTGCAAAGGGGCCCAGCTGGGTGCAGAGGGGTCCAGCAGGGTGCAAAGGGGTCTGGCTGGGTGCAGAGGGGTTCAACCAGGTACAAAGGGCTCCAACTAGGAGCAGAGGGTCCAGCCGGGTGCTGAGGGGCCCAGCCGGGTGCCGAGGGGCCCAGCGGGTGCCGAGGGCCCCCAGCAGGCCCAGAGGGGTCCCGCGGGGCGCTCAGTGGGCGGGCGCGCGCGCCAGCAGGCTCTCGCGGCACGCCTCGCGGTACGCGTTGCGCAGCAGCACGTAGGGGAAGCAGCGCTCCAGCATGTCCACCGTGAGGAAGGACGACTCGGCCACCAGCTGGGGACGGGGACACGGGCGCCATGGGCGGGTGACGCGGGGTGGGGGGGGCAGGCGGAGCATGCGTCCCGTCCCCCCCCCCGCCCGGGGTGGACGCTGGGCGCATTTGCATTTAGATTGCTTGGCAGCGCGGGCAGCGCGCCGCATGCATGCCAATGCGCGGGGACGCGGGTGGGGACACAGGTTGGGGGGTAACACTGCAGGGATGGGGGGGTGACACCCTGGGAATGGGGGGTGACACCTCAGGGGTGGGGGGTGACGCCTTGAAGATGGGGGTGACCCCCCTAGGATGGTGGGCGACACCTTGAGGATTGTGGGTGACAACCTGGAGATGGTGGGTGGCACCTCGGGGGTGGCGGGTGGCACCCCAGGGATGGGGAGTGACACCACAGGGGTGGGGGTGACACCTTGGGGAAGGGGAGTGACACCTCAAGGATGGTGGGTAACCCCCCTAGGATGGTGGGTGACACCTCGGGGATGGGAGGTGACACCCTAGGGATGATGGGTTCTACCCCAGGGAGGGTGCCACCTCGGGGACAGCAGGTGCCCCCGCGGGGACGCTCACCAGCTGCAGCAGCAGGCACACGGAGTCGCGGTTCCTGGCGCGCGCCCTGTCCGGCTCCTGGCCCAGCTGCAGGAGGCTGGTGGAGGCCAGCTGGGGACACAGGGTGCTCAGCACCCCGTGGGTGCCCGCGGGGCAGGGGCTGGGGCGGGGGGGCTGGGGGATCCACAGCTGGGGACTGTCCGGGGCATTGGACACACCGCGGTGGCCCCGGGAGGGTGGCGGTGCCAGCGTGGTGGGCACGTAGGTGGTCATGGACACTGCCCGCTTTAGGATGGGGCCCAACCCTGGGTGATGGACACACCAGGATGATGCTGAGCGCAGGGTGGTGCCCACCACAACCCAACGGCCATGCCAGCGCGATGGACAACCCAGGGCAATGGTCACCCCAGGATGATGGACACCTCAGGATGATGGACACTCCAAGATGATGGACACCCCAGTGTGATGGACACCTCAGGATGATGGACACCCCAGGATGATGGACAACCCAAGATGATGGGCACCCCAAGATGATGGACACCCCAGGATGATGGGCACTCCAAGATGATGGACAACCCAGTGTGATGGTCCAGCATGGTGCCCACCACAATACACAAAGCATCCCAGGATGATGTACACCCCAGGATGATGGACAACCCAGGATGATGCACAGCCCAGGATGGTGGACACCCCTAGGTCTATGGATGCCCCAGGACCATGGACACCCCAAGATGGTACCAACTCAAAGACAGTGCCCACTCCGGGAAGATGGACACCCCAGGATGGTGCCCACTGCAAGACGGTGGCCACCATGGGATAGTGCCAACTCAAGGATTGTGCCTAGCCTAGAACAATGGCCACCCTAGGACAATGACCACCCCAGGATGGTGGCCACCTCAGGATGGAGTCAACTCAAGGACTGTGGCCCACCCCAGGACAATGGCCACCTCTAGATGGTACCAAACCCCGGCTGATGCCCAGCTCAGCCCAATGGCCACCTCGGGACGCTGGCCACCCCAGGCTGTCCCAGCCACGGCCCCAGCAGCTCTCACCACCAGGAACTCCTTGAGGTGGGTCTCGATGTTCTTCTTGTGGATGGTGAAGAGCGCGGCCGACACGTGGATGATGGCCTTGGCCAGGCAGTGGATGTTGTTGTTGTAACCTGGGGCAACAGAGCAGGTGACATTGGGGTACCCCCTGCACTGGGACCCTCCAGTGTCCCCAGCTCTGCTCCAGAGCAGGTGACATCCATCTCCACTGTCCCTCGGACATGGCTATGAGCTACAGCCAGGCTTGGAGGCCACGGACACATGGGGACAACGTGACGCCACGTGAGCTGGCTCCGTCCTGTCCTGTCCCCTCGGGGTGGACACGTCACCAGGGCCCCGTGGTGCCACCACAGCCCGGACCACCCTTACCGTCCATCTCCGTGTTGTAGACGGAGGCCGGGTCGGAGGCCAGCAGGGGCAGGGCCACGGCCACGAAGACCAAGAGCAGACAGGCCACCTTGTAGTCCTCCTCCGGGGACGGGCCCTCTGCCCCGCACACAGGGGACACCCGTTGGGTGCCGGGGAGGTGACCCAGGACAGGGGTCCAAAGAGGGGACCGTGGGACTCAGGGAGGTGGCATGGGATGGGGGTCCCAGGAAGGAGACCCAGGGGGACCCAGGGACCTGGCAAAGGGTGGGGGTCCTGGGGAGGGKACTTGGGGTCCTACAGAGGTGACATGGGGTGGGGGTCMCAGGGAGGGGACCCAGGAGTCCTGGGGCTGTGACACATGGTAGAAGCCCCAGGGAAGGGACCCAGAGGACCCTGCCGAGGTGACAACCGGCAGCCACCCAAGGAGGGCTCCAGGGGGGTCCGAGGGAGGGGACAATCAGCAGGGACCCATGGAGGCGACATGAGAGAGGCCCCGGGGGGACATGGGGACAAAGGGGTCCCAGATGCCCCAGGGGGGACATTGCAGGGCAGGAGATCCCAGGGCCGGGGGTCCGAGGAGGGACCCGCGGAGGGACCCGCGGAGGGTGGCAGGGACGGTCGCCCTCGGGCGCAGGGCCACCCTGTACCCGTCTTGCTGCTGGCCAGGACGGCCACGAGCGCGGGGTCGATCTCGCAGGGGATGCCCGCGGCCGACGCCACCTCGAAGATGCTCAGGGCGACCTGGAGGGACGAGGGGTGACAGGCTGGGCGCTGGCACCCCAGGGTGCCGGGACGGGCGCTGGCCATGTTCGGTGGGACCCAGTGGCTGCGCGGAGCCCAAGGGTGGCTGGGTGTGCAGGGACCCTGGGTGCTGCCATGCGTGGGGACACCAGCACCATGCAGCACCAGGCAATGCCACCAGCGCCACGCAGTGCCATCCAGTGCCACACAGTGCCATGCTGCACTGCTCAATGACATGCAATGCCATGCAACGACGCTAGTGCCACGCAGTGCCATGCAATGCCACCAGGGCCATCCAGTGCCATCCAGTGCCACACAGTGCCATGCTACACTGCTCAATGACATGCAGTGCCATGCAACGACGCTAGTGCCACGCAGTGCCATGCATTGTCACATAGTGCCATGCAATGCCACCAGCGCCATGCAGTGCCACGCAGCACCATGCTACACTGCTCAATGACATGCAATGCCATGCAACGACGCTAGTGCCACGCAGTGCCATGCAATGCCACCAGGGCCATCCAGTGCCATCCAGTGCCATGCAATGCCACGCAGTGCCATGCAACACTACTCAATGACATGCAGTGTCGTGCAATGCCACAGTGCCGTGCAATGCCACCAATGCCATACAATGCCACGCAGTGCCACGCAGCGCCACATGGCGCCCCCCAATCCCCCCCGCGGCGCCCACCTGCATGTCGGTGTCGGGCGTCACCCCGTCCACCAGGCACTCGATGGGGCCCGCGAGGAAGGGGCAGTGCTGGGAGAAGACCTGGGGGTGGCACGGGGCGGGGGGGCACGGGGTGAGGCGCGCGGGCGCGGGCACCCCTCGCCCCCCGCGGTGGCACCCACCTCCCGCAGGCCCTGCTGCGCCAGCGCGCGGAAGCTCAGGATCTCGCCCACGATGGTCATGCGCTTGAGCACGTTGTCGGCGGCTGCGGCACGGCACGGGGGCGCTCAGCGGGGCACCCATGGGTGCCAGGGGTGTTTGCCCGTGTTGGGCACCCCGCCAGCACTCACAGCTCAGCCGTGGCACCAGGGCTGCCATCTGCTCGGGCTTGGTGGCCCCGGCGCGCAGCTGCACCAGCGTGTCCATGTTCTCCCTCACCAGCTTCTGCAGGGGGGCAGGCAGGTGGCACTGGGGGCGGCGCCCAGCCAGGCGGCACCCATGGGTGCTGGTCCCTCGCGCCCACCCAAACACTGGATGATTCGAGGGGGCAGGGTGGTCTCTGGTTATGGGGCTGACATCCAGCAACCCTGGCACAGGGCTCGGACCTGGCACCCAGTGCCCAGCACCCAGTGCCCAGATCCAGCACCCAGTGCCCAGATCCAGCACCCAATGCCCAGAACCAGCACCCAGATCCAGCACCCAGTGCCCAGGTCCAGCACCCAGTGCCCAGATCCAGTGCCAAGACCCAGCACAGAGCACCCAGCCCCAGCACCCAGTTCCCAGACCCAGTGCCCAGATCCAGCACCCAGCCCCAGCACCCAGCCCCAGTACCCAGTGCCCACATCCAGCACCCATCCCAGCATCCAGCACCCAGATCCAGCCCCAAGGCCCGTGTCCACCTCCAGCCCCAGCCCCATGCCCTGGTGGCCACCACCACCATCCACCCGTAGCACCCACCCCAGCACCCCAGCACCCACCCCAGCACCCATGCCAGCCCCACCTTCAGCTCCCCGACCTGGGAGCCCACGTGCCACATGAGGTTGTCGCTCAGGAACTTCATGCCGTAGGGCCCGATGAGCTCGGCCAGCGCCCGCATCTCTGCCCAACGGAGATGTCACCGGGAGGTCCCCACAGTGTCCCCAGGGTGTCCTCACAGTGCCCCACAGTGTCCCCAGGGTGTCCCCACAATGTCCCCATGGCATCCCTGCTGTGTCCCCAGGGTGCCCCCGCTGTGCCCACGCAGTGTCCCTGGGTGTCCCCATGGCATCCCCACCGTGTCCCCACAGCAGGGCTAGGATGTTCCCAGGGTGTCCTCAGGGTGTCCCCAGAGGTCCCCAGGTGTCCCCAGGTGTCCCCAGGACGTCCCCAGGTGTCCCCAGGGTGTCCCCAGAGGTCCCCAGGTGTCCCCAGGACGTCCCCAGGTGTCCCCAGGATGTCCCCAGAGGTCCCCAGGTGTCCCCACGGTGTCCCCAGGTGTCCCTAGGATGTCCCCGTGGTGTCCCCAGAGGTCCCCAGAGGTCCCCAGGGTGTCCCCAGGCTGTCCGCAGGTGTCCCCAGGCGTCCCCAGGCGTCCCCTCGGCGCTCACCGGCGATGTCGGAGAACTCGGCGGCGCTGAAGCCGGGCTCGCCGTCGCGCGGCACGGTGGCGAAGGCCTGCAGGGCGGGCGCCAGCACGATGGCACTGCTGCTGGCCTGGCGCAGCAGGGCCTCCAGGTACCTGCGGGCACCCGCGGGCTGCCACGCGCCACCGGCACCCCCGGGGGGCACGAGGCACCCGCAGCCCAGGTGCCAGCACCCATGGCACCCTGGCACCCATGGGGCAGCACCGGGGGGCACGCGGCACCCACAGATGACGTGCCAGTGCCCGCGGCACCGTGGCACCCATGGGGCAGCCCCGGGGGGCAAGCAGCACCCACAGCCCAGGTACCAGTGCCCATGGTACTTTGGCACCCATGGGGCAATGTCGGGGGGCATGCAGCACCCCCAGGCTGCAGCAGCCAAGGTACCAGCGCCCGTGGCGCCTTGGCACCCATGGGGCAGTGCCGGGGGGCACACGGCACCCCAGTCAAGGTGGCAGCGCCTGTGGCACCGTGGCACCCGCGGCACTGGCACCCAGGGCACGACAGGACCCCTGGCTCCGGGACCCCCCCAGCCCTGCGGGAGCCACTGCACGAGCACCCACACCTGCAGCGGGGTGCTGGGGTGCCCGGGCGCAGCACCCACGGCACCACAAAGCCCAGGGCACTGGCACCCGTGGAGTGGGGACCCATGGCACCAGGACCCACGCTGCTGAGGACACCAGGCACCAGGACACACGTCACCAGGACCCACAGCACCCACAGCACCCATAGCACCAGCACCCACATCACCAAGGAGTCCATGGCACTGGAACACGTCACCACAGCACCAGCACCCACAGTCCTGAGGAGCCTGGGGCACCAGGACGCACGTCACCAGCACCCACAGCACCAGCACCCATGGCACCAGCACCCATGACACTGAGGAGCCCGTGGCACTGGGACACACGTCAGCAGGACCACCAGCACCCACAGCACCCATGGCATGGGGACCCACAGCACCAAGGAGTCCGTGGCACTGGAACACGTCACCAGCACCCACAGCACCAGCACCCACAGTCCTGAGGAGCCTGGGGCACCAGGACGCACGTCACCAGCACCCACAGCACCAGCACCCATGGCACCAGCACCCATGACACTGAGGAGCCCGTGGCACTGGGACACACATCAGCAGGACCAACAGCACCAGCACCCACAGTACCCATGGCACCCGCACCCATGACACTGGGGAGCCCGTGGCACTGGGACACACGTCAGCAGGACCACCAGCACCCACAGCACCCATGGCATGGGGACCCACAGCACCAAGGAGTCCGTGGCACTGGAACACGTCACCAGCACCCACAGCACCAGCACCCACAGTCCTGAGGAGCCTGGGGCACCTGGACACACGTCACCAGCACCAACAGCACCAGCACCCACAGCACCCATGGCACCAGCACCCATGACGCTGAGGAGCCCGGAGAACTGGGACACACGTCACCAGCACCCACAGCACCAAGGACCCCCACACCAGGATGGGGGGACACAACCCCACGGAGGTCCCACCCCACCTCCACGGCCCCTCGCTCCCACCCGTTGCTCTCCACCCCTTCCTCGCCCCGTGGGCGCCGCGGGCACCCCGGGGCGCCCACCAGTTGGTGTAGATGGTGGTGAGCGTCTGCTCGCCGGCGGCGTCGCGGGGCTGCGTCTGCTGCAGGAGCACCCCGCGGACCAGGCGCCCCGTGTCCAGGCCCACCAGGTGGCCCAGCGAGTGGATGAAGGTCGTGTAGGCGCCCAGCCCCACAAGCACCTCCGAGGGCCGGGCCACCTCCTGCGTGGCCTGGTTGTAGGCGGCCATGGCCACGATGGCCCTGGGGGACGCGATGGGGACAGATCAAGAGCTGAGGTGGCAGCTCCCGGGGTCCCAGCAGGGCCCTCATGGCTGGTCCTACTTGGCGAAGCGCGTCTCCAGGTGGCTGCTGAGGTACTCGGCCGGGGTCACCGTGTGCTCGAAGACGGTGAAGTTGGGAACGTGGTTGAGGCTCAGGGAGAGCTCGGACAGCGTCAGGTGCAGCTTGTCCATGCTGGAGGGGACAGGGGCCACCACGCCATGTCATGGACCCGTTATGGAGGTGTCACCCCCATGGATGCCACGTCCATGTCCTGCTCATACCACACCATTGGCCGCGCCATGGTCCTGTCACGTCATGCTCATGGCCATGCCACCTTCCCACCGCATCCATGCCCATGTCACGTGCGGTATCTGCACCAGATCCCCACCCATGACCACGTCACCCCCATGGACACCCCTGTCATGCTCGTGTCACACCCCACCCGCACCCAGGGCCCTGGTGCTCCCCACCCTACACCCATGGTCTTGCGCTCCCCGCCCTGCTCTCACTTGGTGGTCAAGGTCCGGTCCTTCCTCTGGCTCTCGGTGCCGGGTTTGTCCCGCTCGGGCTCCCGGTTCTTGGACATCTGCTTGGTGGCCTTCTTGTTGCGGGCCTTGCTGACGGTGGAGGCGCAGTGCTTGGGCAGCAGCTGCCAGCCATGGGCGGTAGGTTAGGACAGGCCATGGCACTGAGGACAACCTGGCCTTCGGGGTCTTCAGGAGCAGGGGCCACGGTCCCCAAGGTGGCATCAGGGCCATACCCAGGTCTTCTCCTCACCGTGGTCTTTCCCATGCCAAGGCCATAGAGGCCATGGAGGCCACAGAGATCATGGAGATGCTGGAAGTCATGGAGGCCACAAGACCCCAAAGGCCACGGAGACCATGGACGTCATGGAAACCCAAGGCCATGGAGAGCCCAAGGGCCGTGGACACCATAGAGACCATGAAGAATCAAAGGCCGTGGAGGCCCTGGAGACCACGGAGCTCACCAAGACCCCAAAGGCCACCAGGGCCCTCACCTGCTCGCTGAGGTTGTGCTGCTCGGCGCAGGCGTCCATGATGCAGGTGCTGGCCTGTCGGGCGATCTCCTCCAGGAACTTGTCGCACAGCCCCAGCGCCGTCGCCTCCAGCTGGGGATACTGCAGCGGGAGAACCGTGGCATCCCCGTGGGCACCGTGCAGGGCCCGCGGCTCCACATGCCCCGGCGCTGCCACCACAACCGCCACCACGAGCCTCAGGGTCATGCATGTCATTGTCCATCACATGCCACCACACGTGGCCACCACGGCCATCGCTGCCCCTGCCCTGGAGAGGTGTCCCTGTGTCCCCTCCTCGTCCCGGTGGGACCCACCTCCTCAGGACACATGGGGTGGAGGCAGTGGGAGAAGTGGCTGCAGAGCAGGGGGAAGGCGATGCTGTAGCGCAGCATCGAGGGCTCCTCCATGGTGGCCGAGAACATCTTCTCCACGGAGCGAGGGTAGAAGCTACGTGCGAGGGGACACAAGAGGCTCTCTCTGGTCACCTGCATCTTGTCCTTGTCCTTCTCCCTGTGTCTGCTGTGTCCCTGTGTCCCCATGTCTACCTGCACGTCCCCATTCCCACACTTGTCTCCATATGCACGTGCAGGGCTCCAGACCCATGTGATGACCCCCGTGTCCACGTCCCCTTGTCCCCACACCTGTGTCCCACACCTGTATGTGTCCCCATGCCTGCGTCCATCTGTACCCCCATCCCCCCTCCATGTCCTCATGTGGTCCCACCTTCTCCCATAGGTGACATATCCCACCACGGCTACCTCCATCCCTCCCTATCCCCATTGCTCCAGCCCAGGAGGGCCCCAGTGGGGGGTCCATGGTGCTGATGGTCACCAGAGGTCCGAGAGGTCCGAGGTCTCGGCCAGCAGGTCCTCGAGGGAGTCGAGGAGCTTGGTGTGGAAGACGATGAGGTTCATGACGCGGCCCACGTCGGGGTTGCTGCTGAGCGGCAGGGCGGCCTTGGCCACGCTCGTGTAGGCCTTGGGGGGACAAGGGGACAGAGCTGGGAGGGGACAGAAGGGCTAGGGGACCCACTGGGGGTGGAGACAGGGGAAGGGAATGGGGACAGGGACAAGGATGGGGATGGGGACAAGGATGGGGATGGGGACAGGGAGAAGGATGGGGATGGGGACAAGGATGGGGATGGGAACAGGGAGAAGGTTGGGAACTAGGGAGAGTTGGGGACAGGGACAAAGATGGGGATGGGGACAAGGATGGGGATGGGGACAGGGAGAAGGTTGGGAATTAGGGAGGGTTGGGGACAGAAACAAGGATGGGGAAGTCTATGGAGAAGGGGAAGAAAATGGGGACCAAGACAATGATGAGGACAGGGATGGATGTGAGGACGAGGACGGGTCCAACCTGAGAAGGTTGGGATCTAGGAAGGGTTGGGGACAAGGACGGGAACGAGGATGGTCAAGACCACGGAGAAGGGGAAAGGAATGGCGCCAGGGAGGATGGGGACAGGGACAAAGATGGGGATGGGGACAAGGATGGGGATGGGATGGGGACAGGGAGAAGGTTGGGAACTAGGGAGGGTCGGAGACAGGGAGAGGAACAAGGATGGTCAAGACCATGGGGAAGGGGAAAGGAATGGTGACAGGGAGGATGGGGACAGGGACAAAGATGGGAATGGGGACACGGATGGGGATGGGAACAAGAATGGGGATGGGGACAAGGATGGGGATGGGGACAAGGATGGGGATGGACACGGGGACAGTCATGGAGAGGGACCAGGAGGGCAGCGGGGATGGGGACGAGGACGGGGACCAGGGTGGGGACGGGACAGGGACGAGGACGGGTGGCACCTGCAGCCGGAACCAGTCCAGGCGCAGAGGCGCGAAGTCCAAGGGCTCCTTGTCATCCACTGCGGGGACACGGAGCCGTGGGGGACACGGGGGACACGGGGGGACACGGGGGACATGGGGGGACACAGGGGGACACGGGGGACGCAGCAGGGACATGGGAGGGACCAGGGTGGTGGGTACCAAACTGGGGGAAGCTGCTCCAGGGATGGGGTGCGGGGATACGGGGGAGGTGGTTTTGGGGGTGCCAAGATGGGGGCACCCACTTGGGACTGTCCGTATTGGAGAGCCAACCTGGGGTGCCCTCCAGGTATCGACCTGGGGGTGCCAAGACGAGGGGTGCCAACGTGGGTGGCGCCAATTCGGGCGTGTGAACGTGGGGGCCCCAGGGTAGGGCGCCAAAGCGGGGGTGCCAGCCCGGGGGTGCCAATGTAGGGGTCCCTCTGTGAGCACCCATGGAACGAGGGGCACCAAGGTGGGGGGGGGCCCCCGAGGACACCCAGGGGCCGGTGCCACCCACGTCCCCGCGGGCCGCGGCCGCCCCCCACCTTCCTTGAGGGAGAGCGCGGAGAGCGAGCGCACGAAGGCCGACAGGATGACGGACTCCTCCTCGGGGCACACGGAGAGGTTCTGCGGGCGGCGGCGGCGGTCGGGGTGGCACCCATGGGTGCCCGCGGCGCGCCCGCGCCCGCCGCCGGCTACCTGGAGGACGTCGCTGAGCACGAGCGCGTCGAAGCGCGCCAGGAAGGCGGCGTGGTAGCGGCGCAGCAGCGGCGCCCCGCGGCGCACCAGCGCCCGCAGCCGCTCCAGCAGCAGCAGCAGCTCGGCCACGTGGCTGCGGGCACCGCGGCGGCGGCGGGGGCATCGGGGACAGCGGGGACACCGGGACGGCAGGGACATGGGGACGGCAGGGACATCGGGGACACGGGGACGGCGGCGGCATCGGGGTGGCAGGGACACGGGGATATTGGGGGCACGGGGGCATCGGGGACATCGGGGACATCGGGGACATCGGGGGCATGGGGGATATTGGGGACATCGGGGGCACAGGGACATCAGAGACACGGGAACGGCAGGGACATCAGGGACACGGGGACGGGAGGGATGTGGGGACATCAGGGACATCGGGGGCACAGGGACATCAGAGACACGGGGACAGGAGGGATGTGGGGACATCAGGGACATCAGGGACACACGGACGGCAGGGGCATCGGGGACATCAGGGACACGGGGACATCAGGGACACGGGGACGGTGGGGACATCGCGGGCACAGGGGCATCGGGGACGTTGGGGACATCGGGGGCATGGGGACATCAGGGGCATGGGGATGGCAGGGACACAGAGACAGTGGGGACATGGGGACAGCAGGGGCATGGGGACGGCGGGGACACGAGGAGGGCAGGGACACGGGGACATCGGGGACATGGGGACGTCAGGGACATGAGGGACACGGGGACGGTGGGGACATCGGGGACAGGGGCACAGGGGCAGCAGGGGCACGGGGACAGCGAGGACATGGGGGACATCGGGGACATGGGGACATCGGGGACATTGGGGACATCGGGGTCATCGGGGACATCAGGGACACGGGGACGGCGGGGACATGAGGACAGCAGGGACATGAGGACATCGGGGACATCGGGGGCACAGGGACAGCAGGGATACGGGGACGTCAGGGGCACGGCCACCACACCGCCGCCCTTGGCATCGCGGCGCCGGGCATCACCCTCCGACTGGCTGGGCATCCCCGTGCCACCGCCAGGGCCACCCACCACCCCAGGTGACACTGGCGCTCAGCACGTCCTGCCAACGTCACCTGTGCCCACCAAGGCCCCTAGGTTCTAGCCGGGGCCACCAAACCCACAGGTGCCACCCTGGACCCAACAACCAGCCCAGGTGCCCTCAGTGCCCAACAAGCCTCCCAGTGCCACCAACTGGCTATACCGGTGCCCACCATGTCCTGCCAGTGCCACCAGTGCCCACCATATCCCTCGGGGTCACCCAAGGCCCAACCACTGTCCCAGGTGCCAACAGTGCCCAATGAAGCTCCTAGTGCCCCCAGTGCCCACCAATCACCCCAAGTGCCACCAGCACCCACAAACTCTTGGGTGATGTCGGGGCCCAGAGGACTTCCCAGTGCCACCAACTCCCTCCCGATGCCACCTGATCAATCCCCACCAAGGTCACCAACAGCCCCCTGTGCCACCAGTACCCACTAAGCCACCAGAGTGCCACCAGTGCCCAGTGAACCCCCCTGTTCCGCTGATGCCCACCGACCACCCAGATGCCACCAGCGCCTGATGAACCTCAACGTCACCAGTGTCAACGTTCCTCAACGTCACCAGCGTCACCAAACTGCCCCAGGTGCCACCAGTGCCCACCAAACCCTCCGGTGTCCCCGGCGCCCGGTAGAAGCTCTCGGTGGCTGCCCGCCCCGGTGGTGCCCACCCAGCGGTGCCACCTCGGGGGCACCCATGGGCACCTGTCGGCGAAGTCCTCGGGCGCCCTGGTCTTGGTGACGTGCTCGGCGTGCCGCGCCAGCCACAGCAGCTCGTCACGGGCCAGCGAGAGCGCCACGAACACGAGCAGCGCCTGGGCGCCGCGCAGCGGGTGCTGAGCCCGGGCACCCAGCTGGCTGCACCCAGCCCTGCACCCAACTGGGCACCCATGCTGCACCCAGCTGTGCATCCAGCTGGGCACCCATGCTGCGCCCAGCCCTGCACCCAGCTGGGCACCCATGCTGCATCATCCTGCACGCAGCTGGGCACCCAGTCCTGCACCCAAGTGGGCACCCAGCTGTACACCTACATTGCACCCAGCCATGCACCAAGCTGCGCATCTGCCCTGCACCCAACTGTGCACCCAACCCTGCACCCAACCCCTGCACCCAGCCCCATGCTGCTCCCCCAGTCCGAGCCATGCACCCACTTTGCACCCAACTGGGCACCCATCCTGCACCATCTTGCACCCAGGTGTGCGCCCAACTGGGTACCCAGCCCTGCACCCAACCCTGCACCCACCCTGCACCCAACTGTGCACCCAGCTCTACATCCACCCTGCATCCAGCTGTGCACCCAACCTGCACCAAGCTGTGCACCCAACCCCTGCACCCACCCTGAACCCAACCGTGCACCCACCCTGCAGCCACCCCCCGCACCCAACCTGCACCCACCCACCCCGCCGTCCCCCCGCCGTGCCCCCGGTCACCTTGGGTGCCAGCAGCCCGGGCTGGTCGGCCAGCAGCGCCTCGAGCTCGCGCAGGGCGCCGCGCAGGTACCCGCGCCGGGCGCGGTGCAGGGCGCCGCTGTGGGCACCGCAGCGGGGTGAGACGCGGGGTCCCCCGGGGCCACCCACGTCCCCGCCCTGCACCCACCTGTGTGCCACCGCCTGCTCCTTGCACTCCTTGACGTCGGCCACGCGCTTCCCGAACCTGCCCAGAGCCCGCGGGTGGCACCGGGAGCCCATGGGTGGCACCGGGACCCCGCAGGTGGCACCAAGATCCCGTGGGTGGCACTGAGACCCCACAGGTGACACTGGGACCCCATGGGTGGCACTTGGACCCCGTGGATAGCACCCAGGATGCAGACCCAGCACCCAACCCCGGAACCCAGAAGCAGCACCCAGCACCCCAACACTGGCACCCAACACCAGCATCCAGAACCAGCACCATGCATGCAGACCCAGCACCCAGTACCAGCACCCAGGATGCAGACCCAGCACCCAAGACCCAACACCAGCACCCAAAACCAGCACCCAGCACCCAGACCCAGCACCCAACCCCAGCACCCAGGACCCAGCACCAGCACCCAGGATGCAGACCCAGCACCCAGTACCCGCACCCAGCATGCAGATCCAGCACCCAGGACCCAGCACCAGCACCCAAAACCAGCACCCAGGATGCAGCCCCAGCACCCAGCACCCAACCCCAGCACCCAGCCCCAGCACCCAGCACTCAACACCAGCACCCAGAACCCAACCCCAGCACCCAGGATGCAGCCCCAGCACCCAAGCCGGGCACGCAGCCCCCATTGTGCGGAGGGCGCGCACCCCTTCATGGCGCCCAGCAGCTCCTCGGTGGCGCGGTGCACGGGCAGGCTCTCGTCGCGCAGCAGGGTGACGCGCAGGGTGCCCTGCAGCGCCCGGCGCCACAGCTCCTGGCAGCGCGCGCCCGCCAGCGCCGCCGGGCACGCCAGGAAGCCAACTGTGCGGGGGGCACGGCCGCTGGCACCGCGCCGCGCCACCCGCGCCACCGGTGCCACCAGTGACACCAGTGGCACCCGCGCCACCACCTGCACCAGTGCCACCCGCGCCACCGCCACCCGCACCACCGCCAGTGCCACCCGCGCCACTGCCACCAGTGCCACCACCTGCACCAGTGCCACCTGTGCCACTGCCACCAGTGCCACCACCGCCAGTGCCACCCATGCCACCTGCACCACCACCACCAGTGCCACCCATGCCACCACCAACAGTGCCACCACCCGCGCCACCACCAGTGCCACCCACACCACCACCACCAGTGCCACCACCCATGCCAGCACCAGTGCCACCTGTGCCACTGCCACCAGTGCCACCACCGCCAGTGCCACCCATGCCACCTGCACCACCACTACCAGTGCCACCCGCGCCACCGCCACCCGCACCACTGCCAGTGCCGCCCACGCCACTGCCACCAGTGCCACCACCTGCACCAGTGCCACCTGCGCCACTGCCACCAGTGCCACCACCGCCAGTGCCACCCATGCCACCTGCACCACCACTACCAGTGCCACCCGCACCACCACCACCAGTGCCACCCATACCACCTGCACCACCGCCAGTGCCACCCGCGCCACTGCCACCAGTGCCACCACCCGTGCCACCACCAGTGCCACCCATGCCACCACCACCAGTGCCACCCATACCACCTGCACCAGTGCCAGTGCCACCCGCGCCACCGCCAGTGCCACCACCTGCACCAGTGCCACCTGTGCCACTGCCACCAGTGCCACCACTGCCAGTGCCACCCACACCACCTACACCACCACCACCAGTGCCACCCATGCCACCACCACCAGTGCCACCACCCATGCCACCGCCAGTGCCACCTGTGCCACTGCCACCAGTGCCACCACCGCCAGTGCCACCCATGCCACCTGCACCACCACTACCAGTGCCACCCGCGCCACCACCACCAGTGCCACCCATACCACCTGCACCACCGCCAGTGCCACCCGCGCCACTGCCACCAGTGCCACCACTGCCAGTGCCACCCGCACCACCTGAACCAGCACCACCACCTCTACCACCACCAGCACCATCTGCACCACCACCAGCACCACCTGCCTCCATGCCACCACCTGCACCACCTGCACCACCACCAGCACCACCACCTGCACCAGCACCCACGCCACCACCACCAGCACCGCCAGCTGGTCCCCCTGCAGGGACACCTGCCCTAAGGCTTGGGGATGTTTGCCAGCCCTGGGGACCCCCATGTGACCCTGGGGACACGTGTCCACGTGCCACTGGAGACCCCACCACGTGTGTGGCTGGGGACACCTGCCCACGTCACGCTGCAGGGTTGGGGACCCAGCCATGGGGACATCTACCCACGTGGTGGGGACACGAGCCACGCAATCTCGGGGCTCTGGGGCCATCTGCCCATGGGGCACCGAGGGCCATTGGGGTGGGAGACACGTGCCAGCCTTGGGGACGCGCCCGCACTGGGCACTCACGGATGATCCAGCGCTCCATCACCTCCAGGGACAGGTACTCGCAGGCCGCCTGGGGACAGTGGCATCAGCGGGTGGCCCGCGGGGACAAGGACAGGCGCGCGGCGCGGTGGCGCTCACCGTGTCCGAGCTGGCCGGGCTCAGCATGGTGCCCGCCGTGCCCAGCAGGCTCAGGAGCTGGGCGCTCCGCCACTGCTCGGCGCCCTGGTTCCTCCGCGCGAAGAGGAAGTGCAGGGACGCCAGGGCGCTGGTGACCGCCTGGGGGGACATAGGGGACATGTGAGGGTGCCCGGGCGCCCTGGCACCCGCCCCCGCGCGCCCCGGCCCACCTTGGTGTGCGGCCCGAACTCCTCCGCCAGCTTCTTGAGAGGGTGGTCGTACTCCAGCACCATCTGGGCCAGGCGGGCGAAGTTGGGCTCGCTGCGGGCACGGGGAGCTCAGCGGTGGGGACGGTCCGTAGGGACCGGTCCGGAGGGGATGGGGCATGGGGGGTGGTCCTCAGGGGGAGCTGGGGTGAGGTGGGCCACGGGGACAGGCGTCGCGGTCACTCTTGATGGGGTTGGGCCATAGGGATGGACACTGGAGTCAATCCCATTGGGAATGGGTCATGGAGATGAACGTTGGGGTCAGTCTTGATGGGGTTGGGGCATGGGGATGGACATTGGAGTCAATCCCATTGGGAATGGGCCATGGGGATGGACGTTGGGGTCAGCCTTGAAGGGACTGAGTCAAAGGGATGGACGCTGGGGTCAATCCCATTGAGAAGGGCCATGGGGACGGACTTTGGGAAGGATCTTAGTGGGAATGGGCCATAGGGATTGATCTCAGTGAGGTGGTTTGAGTGAGGTGGGTTGGGGATCTTGGTGGGGATGGAGATGGATGTTGGGGTCAGTGTTGGTGGGGATGGTCCATAGGGATGGCCATTGGAGACAGTCCAAAGGGATGTATCTGGAGGGCAGTCAAGGGATGGACCTTGGGGCCAGCTCTGGTGGAGACGGCCCATGGGGACAGTTCTCAGGGTCTACCCCTGGTGGAGACAGTCCATGACAATGGGCCTTGGGGCTCCCTCTGGCAGGGATGATCCACAGGGACAGTCCTTGGGGGCTGACTCAGAAGGGACAGGTGGTGGGAACTGCTGTCAGGGACCATTCCTGATGGAGATGGTCCATGGCGACAGACCTTGGAGCAGCTCCAATGGGGAAGGTCCATGAGGACGGTTCTTGGAGACCGTCCCCACGGGGATAGCGCTTGGAGATGGACCCTGGGGACATGGGATGGACGAGCCATGGGGCTATCCAGGTGGGGCGAGGACACGGATGCCTACCTGGTGCCATGGATCATCTCGTGGGCACAGTGGTACAGGCCAATGAGCACCCGGCGCTCCTCGGTGCGGGCCAGCAGCAGCACGAGGGACACGTAGGTGACAATCAGGTCCAGGTAGCCCTTGGTGAAGTCGTAGTTGACGTTCTGGGGACGGGGCAGCCGTGAGCGCTGGGGCACGTGGGCACCTCAGGCACCTCCTGAGCGCCCTGAACCTCATCTGAGCACCTCGAGCACCCCGGGATGCCCTATGGGTACCCTGGGCATCTCCTTGGGCACCTTTCTGCCACCATAGCCACCTCCTTGGTCACCTTCTTGGCACCCTGGAGCATCGCCAGGGGACCCTGGGCACCCTCAGAGCAACCCTGGACCTCCCCAGCTACCCTCTGAACACCCTTGTCACCTGCTAGGGGACCATCCTGCCACCTTGGTCACCACCTTGGGACCTTGCCGGCACCCTGGAGTACCCTGTGGGCACCCTGAGCACCTCCTGGGCACCCTGAGCACCTCCTGAGCACCCCCAGGTCTCCTCAGACACCTTCCAAGAACCTTGGGCACCCCCTTGGGGACCATCCTACCAGTCTGGTCACCTCCTTGGGCACCCCCTTGGGCACCTTCTTGGGGACCATCCTACCACCATGGTCAACCCCCTTGGGCACCTTCTTGGGGACCCCCTTGGGGACCATCCTACCAGTCTGGTCACCTTGGGCACCCCCTTGGGGACCATCCTACCAGTCTGGTCACCTCCTTGGGCACCTCCTTGGGGACCATCCTACCAGTCTGGTCCCCACCTTGGGCACCCCCTTGGGCATCTTCTTGGGGACCCCCTTGGGGACCATCCTACCAGCCTGATCACCCCCTTGGGCACCTCCTTGGCACCCCGCAGCACCCTATGGGTGGCACCCATAGGTGCCGCACTCACGATGTCAAAGAAGCAGTCGCTGGCGTCGATGGTGTTGAGCAGCTCGTAGACGTGGTCCTGGCCGGGGAGGACGTGTCACCCGGTGCGTGTCCCCACCGCGGTGTCCCCACAAGGTCCCCGTCTCACCCTGAACTCCAGCAGGTCCACGAAGGAGTGGTAGAAGGGGGCGAGCGCCCGGGCGATGTCCCCCCTGGCCTTGTGCACCGGGCCCAGCTGGGCCTGCGGGGACACCCATGGGTGACACGGGATGGGGGACACCGGGATGGGGGGGGACGGACACACGGACTGGGGGGGTCCCACGGGGTGATGGGGACACCGGGGCCAAGGGGACGTGGGACAGCAGGGGGACATGGGCTGGGGGCCGTGGGGACATGTGGCGGGGGGGCTGGGCATAGGGGACACCGGGAGGACATGGGGGACAGCAGGGACAGCTGGGATGGGCTCACAGGGGACATTGGGGTGACCCAGGGTAGGGGACATTGGGGTGACCCAGGATAGGGGACATTGGAGTCACCCAGGCGGGGGACATTGAGGTGACTCAGAGCAGGGGACATTGGGGTGATCTGGAGTAGGGGACATTGAGGTGACCTAGGACAGGGGACACTGGGGTGACCCAGGGCAGGGGACATTGGGTGACCCAGGGTAGGGGACACTGGGAGATCACCCAGGACAAGGGACCCTGTGCCACCCAGGGCAGGGGACATGGGAGGACCCAGGGCAGGGGACATAGGGGTGACCTGGGGTAGGGGACCTGGGGGTGACCCAGGACAGGAGACATTGGAGGCACCCAGGACGGGGCCCTGGGGGTGACACCCTGCAGGACAGGGACCCCAGGGTGGCCCAGGGCAGGACAGGGGTCCCGGGGTGGCCCAGGACGGGGTCCCGGGGTGGCCCAGGATGGGGCCCTGGGGGTGACACCCTGCAGGACAGGGACCCCGTGGTGGCCCAGGGCAGGACAGGAACCCCAGGGTGTCCCAGGCCGGATCCCGGAGTGGCCCAGGGCAGGCCAGGGGTCCCGGGGTGCCCCAGGATGGGGACTCGGGGGTGACCCCAAGCAGGCCAGGGGCCCCGGGGTGCCCCAGGCCGGGCGCCGGGGTGGCCCAGGATGGGGACCCAGAGGTGACACCCTACAGGCCAGGGCCCCGGGGTGCCCCAGGCCGGTCCCGGGGTGCCGGGGCCGCCTCACCGCGCCGCCGCGCGCCTCCAGCTGCGGGAACCTCTTGTGCAGGAGGCGGGCGCAGGGCTCCAGCGCCCGGTCTGCCAGCGGCGGCGGCCGCGTCCGCGCGTCCCCGCAGCTCTGCGCCCCGGCCTCAGCACCCGCGGGCCCAGGCGTCCGGGCTCCCCCGCCCGCCCTTCCCCCCCCACCCCGGCTCCCTCCCTCCCCCACCCTAGGGGCCCGGGCGTCCGGCTCCCCACCCCGGGGTGGGGGGGGGGCGCTCAGGAATCGAGGTCCCCAACTCCTTCCCCCCCCCCACCCCCCAGGGTCCGGGCGTCCGGGTCCCCCCCCCCCCCCCCGACACCCCCGGCACCCAGGACCCCAAGCCCTTCCCCCACCCAAGGAGGGCCCAGGCGTCCGGGTCCCCAATCCCTTCCCCCACCCCCCAAGGGGCCAAAGCATCGGGGTCCCCAATCCCTGCCCCCACCCAAGGAGGGCCCAGGCGTCCGGGCTCAGCCCCTCCCCCACCCCAAGGAGGGCCCAGGCGTCCGGTTCCCCAATCCCTTCCCCCACCCCACGATGGGCCCAGGCGTCCGGGCTCAGCCCTTCCCCCACCCAAAGAGGGCCCCAATCCCCACCCCAAGGGGCTCAGGCTTGCCCAATCCCCTCCCCCTCCCCAAGGAGGGCCCAGGCGTCCGGGCGCCCCCCACCCAGGGGCGCAGGCGTCCGGCGCCACCTTCTTGATGTGGTAGAGGCGCACGAGGACGCCGCGGCCCCGCTCGTTGAGCAGCGTCAGCTTCTCGGCCAGCTTGTGCTGGTAGACGGAGGGCAGCGCCATGGCGGCGTCCCCGACGTCCCCCTTGTCACCCGGTGTCCCCGTCACCCAACGTCGCCGTCACCCGTCGTCCCCGGCGCCGACTTCCCCTTCCCCTTCCGGGCGCCGGCGTCACCCACGCGGCCGCGTCACGGGCGCCCGCGGTGGCACCACGGGGTGGGTGGCACCGTGTGGTGGCACCCATGGGTGGCACCGCCGTGGGACACTGGCCACCACCTCCAAACGCTGGGCCGGGGGCCGGCGGGTCATGATGCCACCCGTGGCCATGGAGTGTCAGTGTCACCAGCCTGGGCCACCTAGTGCCATCCATGGCCATGAGCCACCATCAGGGCCACCTAATGCCACCCATGGCCACCTAATGCCAACTATGGCCACCTAATGCCAACTATGGACACGAGCCACCAGTCACGGCCACCTAATGCCAACCTAGGCCACCTAATGCCATTGATGGCCACCTAATGCCAACTACGGCCACAGGCTACCTAATGCTACAGGCACTTGATGCCAACCTAGGCCACCTAATGCCATCCATGGCCACCTAATGACAACCATGGCCACCTAATACCAACTACGGCCACCTAATGCCAACTATGGCCACGAGCCACCGGTCACAGCCATCTAATGCCAACCTTGGCCACGTAATGCCATCCATAGCCACCTAATGGGAAATATGACCACAGGCCACCTAATGCCACAGCCACCTAATGCCAACTATGGCCACGAACCACCAGTCATGGCCACCTAATGCCAACCTAGGCCACCTAATGCCATTGATGGCCACCTAACACCATCCATGCCCACCTAATGCCAACTGTGGCCCCTGTCCCCAGGTGCTCCCCATGTGGTCCCTGTCCCCAGGTGTCCCCAGTGTTATCAGTCCCCAGGGGTCCCCAGGTGTCCCCACGTGGTCGCTGTCCCCAGGTGTCCCCTATATGGTCTCTGTCCCAATCCCCCATGTGATCCCTGTCCCCAGGTGTCTCCCACATAGTCCCTGTCCCCAAGTGTCCCCAGGTGTCCCCCATGTGGTCCCTGTCCCCATTGCCCACGTGGTCCCTGTCCCCAGGTGTCCCCATCCCCTATGTCCCCATCCCCCAGGTGTCCCCGCTCCCCAGGTGTCCCCAGGTGTCCTCATCCCCCATGTGGTCCCTGTCCCCCGGTGCCCCCCGTGCCCAGGTGTCCCCCGGTGTCCCCATCCCCCACGTATCCCCATCCCCCATGTGATCCTGGTCCCCAGGTGTCCCCAGGTGTCACCTGTCCCCAGGTGTCCCCAGTGTTGTCAGTCCCCAGGTGTCCCCAGGTGTCCCCCATGGGGTCCCTGTCCCC